TTTAAGGAGGTCTTTGGTAGCTGATCACGGTTGTTGAGGCCTACATGAAGAATAATGGTAGTAGGTTTGGGATCATGGTCGTATGATTCCAGGATTGACTGTATGTGATGGATTTGGGCACCGGGGTAAGAATGTATTTCAGTATCTGAACTGGTTTTGATAATTCGATTCAGGTTAGATGATCCAAAAATTAAGGTAGATTTCTTTAGAGCGGGTAGCTTCCATAATGATTTGTCCTTGGTTTGGTGATAATACGGTTTGGTAGCGGATATAATGGTCGTCGAGGACCTTCACAAAGGGTTCTTCCTCCTTATGAGAGGGGACTGGTTGGCGTCGTTGGGTTGGTAATCGTTTCTGTTGTTGGTCAGGTCGATGGTTACCTCTTGATTGGTAGGTGTTGTAGGTAGGTCGGCGATGGGGTGGGATATAGCTGGATGGGTTGGTTGGTGGTCGGCGATTGGTAGGTGGTAGAGGTCGATGGAAGACAGGGCCGTTGTAGGGTATGTGATATTGGTTTGGTTGACGATTAGTGTTTCTATGTCTGGCTTCTTGCCAGTGGTTGTTGTAGTTGGGGAGCATAATGAAAATAACTTGAGTTATGATTAGTGATTGGCCATGTGGTGGATTCTCCAGTTAAAGTTATGCTACCTACCGTATTACGATGAAGAAAAGCTATTTCAATATCTTTAGTTAATGAGTTTAATATTCTCGTTTCTACTTCAATTGATGGTGTTATTACGGGTATGTAAAGTTGGAGATTCGTTATTTCTAATTTTGCATTTGAAGCATTCTCTCCAAAGAATATCTTATCATCGTTGATTTCTCTTTGTAGATGAATTTTATATGGTAACCCTATGGAAACATTTCTGTGTTACAACAGACCGAATAAAGGATATAATTTCCAATTTACGTAATTACCCCACCTATTATTCTCAACAACATTATTATACTGAAGTACTCGTTTTTCGAATCCATGATTAGCTGCTCGTGCTACTCTTTCTATTGTGTTTCGAGCAACAACTCTCACTCTAGCTAAATCAGCATCATTTGCAAGATTTCTTGCCGGTTCTTTTAAAACACTTCCATCGCCAACATCGGGTATCCAACCTGAGACTGAATCGAAATCTTTAGAATATAAAACTGTTTTCAACATTGTATCGAATTCCCCAGGGTGTTTAATTGTTTCTATCGGATTTGAACCAGCTTCCAAAACCATCTCGCTAAATAAAGATGGAAAGAAATTGTTTTCTAACGTTGTATTTGTTTGTGGTACACGATTTTCATTGGGAGTTCCATCTTTTATTTTGAAATCGCATCTGAAATAAGCATCGGAAAGAAGTAGCTAATTCGATAATGAATTTATTTCGAAGAAAATTCTACCACCATCATTCAATTGGGATTTAGAACCAACAGTCGGTGAGATGATAATATAATCCTCTTTTTTCTTCTTAAATGAGTAACGAATTGGATCGTATAATTTAAAGATTGGATCTAGTATTGTATTTGCCATTTTTAAGGTTTAAAAATTGAGTAGAAAATTGTGGTCTATTTTCTTTTTTCAAAAAAGAGTTATCTTCCTTCTAGAAGTTTCTACATTATTAAAACCGGATGTTTAGCGAAACAAGGAAGTTATTTTATATAAGGGTATTTTTAATATGCTTTTTTCGTTTAATTTAGGGTGAATAGGTTTGGGGTTGGGGGTTGATGGAATGTAGGAATTGATTGAAGATGTTTTTGGGGTAAGAATTTATGAAATGTAGGGTGTTTATGTCTTTTTTGGGACCTTTCAATATGGTCGCACTTTCCCCATGGAATATAATGGAATGGGGATTCCCCTTGCGACCATATTGAAAGGTCTAGTACTACTATTAACATGCAGATGAACCGAACTAGTCGTTGATCTATGAACTTGGCCACCGCCTGTATACGGAGACAAAACCAATAGCCTATTTTTTCAGAAGACCTTATATATAAGTTTTTTTCTGCTAATTTAGGCATAAAATGGTTTGAAAGACAAAACTTATATCCTGGTTCCCGTTGAAGCAAAATTGCCTTGTCATCAATCCACCAAAATTCTTTTAATTCCCTATATTTTACTGCAAAAGTTTTTTCATCGTATCACGAATACGGGTTTTGGGTGGTCTTATTGACGAATGGGGGTGAAGTTTTGACACGGTGAAGCTTTAATGTACTGTACTTACACTGCAACAAAGTGATTAAATGTAACATCAAACCTTGACCTATATCACAATGCTGTTTTTGTGTTTGGAAATCCGGCCAAGTAACCTAATCGTTTGATGGAATCGAGAATGTCTTCGTGTAGCCGCTTCTTTATAGATATTGTATATGGTAAATACATAAGTTGGTCATGACCTTTTTTATATTTCTATTTTATTAAAATTGTTGTCAATTTCAATCTGAATATGTTAAATTTTGAATTTGGAACATTACCACGGATCCTTCTTTAATACCGTGTGAGTTCTGAATCATGAAGGGAGATAATTTCTTCAACACGTTTATCAACTTCCTTCAGTTTCTGCAGACGAGCTATCGTTAATTTGAAAACTTTGGATGAATTTGTAGCTTTCACAAAATAGTTAGAAATCTACTGAATCTTTTGGTAGTAATTCGACCAAGTTATCAAATTAGTTTATTAGTTAACAAATATGACTCTTTGTCTTGTACAAGACAGATATTACTGTTTGTTCCAGTTAACAAGCGTGGAGCGACTAATTTACATCCCAAAGATATATCTATAACTTACGTCTCAAAATTTCATGGGCTGAATATTAGACAGGACCATGTCCTTCTGTATTGGACCTTATGCTGACCAACACAAAAAAATGTTGTATATTTGTCAAATCTGTAAATCCAACAGTTTCTATAAGCTAATGCTTACTTCCCATTTCTTAAAATCTGTTTAAGAAAATCAAATTTTATCAAGTTCAAATCCAAAAATACTTTTTTAATGATCATTCTTTAAAATTATGCTCAAAATATCAAATATTATAAATTTTCAAAATTGCTTCATAGGAGAATATATACAGTTAGACTTATTTGGTGCCATGACTTAAAAAAACGAATCTTTATATAAAATATTATTTCCATTATTTCCATCAAAGTATTTTTTGAAAAACACTGCTAAACATGTTTTCAAAATAAATTTTTACCTAATATTATAAACTTAATTGATTTAATATAGAAACATTCTGTTTACTAATTTAACACCAAGTAAAACAACTGATGATCAAAGAATCAATTTGATCAGGTTTAAAAACAATTCCTTTGTTGTCCTATATATAATCCTATGTAACTTTTCTTTATACATTTCATTACAATATTACAGCTCAAATTATGAAACTGTCTGATATACAGACTATCAATATCCACAATATGGACAAGAAATGTAAGTCCATGACGGTTCAGAATACATTCAAATTGCATTGTATGAGAAGTAAATAGAACTGGTAGACATTGACGAAACATTATATTTTTCAAATCTGAAAATAAGGATATTCAATGGAAAAAAGTAACTACAACTGTAGAAACATTTATAACAGGGTCAAGCAAAAAATAATCATTATTCCCGAAATATTTTCTTTGTCCATTGTCCATCCAGGACAAATATTAACAGTGAAGGTTTCAATCAGAACTGAGTGCCAGTCGTGCAATATTAAACTAACTCCAGATGAAAGTTTTTCACCATTTATTGTTTGCCATAGTTGCCATTCTTGAATCAAAGCAGTTTTAAAGTCAATGATAATGACAATGTTACAAGTTCAATTCGAAGATAACAATGAAAAACTAACCATTTCAGATGATATTTTTTCAAAGCTTCTCAATTCAATTAATATAGTGAATTTAAAATCGGATAAAGATTCACTGGGGGAATATTTTTTGTCACAAGACATCAATTTTATGTGTCACTTCAATTCTTCTAAAGTATTAACACCAATTTCCATCAGCTAATAACACTAATATGAAAATTAAGTTTGAATAATTTTAACATACCATGTATTTTGTTTTACATTTATCTATTACTGATACTTTTAATACCTTAACTGCTTTTAATATACCGTATTCCATCTCGTTTCACATAGACTTATTACCGGTTTTTAAACAGTTTAATTGTTCTATACATGCCGTCTGATAATCTGTTTTATTATATTCTTTTATGGTTAATTTTTGTTTTTAACCTGTTGTGTCTCATAGACCAACACTGGTCGGAAAAACATTACTTTGTACATTTTGTAATTTTCTTACTGTGGTATTTTATGTAATGTTTTTTTTGTGACATCTATTAATAAACTTAATAATCTAACAGAAAAAGGATTGATAATGAAGGAAAACACAAACTTTCTACAACTCTAAATAGTTAAAAAAAATTTATTTCAAAACATTCAAGCATTCAAATGAACCAATGAAAGTATATCATACACCAAGTTATATATTTTGTTATGATAGTTTTATATTGTACCTTATTTTCAATTGATATCTTGTGAAATAGGGTTCATTCACTATCTCTATTATAATCTTAACTTTAACATGCTTTTGTTTTTTTGCCATTTTTATACGCTACATGAAATGTGGAGCGTATATTGCCGTCACCCATGTCGGTCCGTCGTAAACACTCTACAGGTCACAATTCTTGACGGATTATGACAAAACTTGCTGAAATTGCTTATTATCACCCAAGATGAACCCTATTGAAAATGAAAAGAATCAAAATATATTTAATATGAGTTTTTGCCCTCTTCTTCAAAACGCGTTCGATTTTTGGCTCGTAAACATTCTATAGGGCACAATTCTTGACAGATTTTGAAAAAACTTGCTAAAATTGTTTATTATCACCCAAAGATGAACCCTATTGAAAATCTAAAAATTTGAAAAATATTTAATATGACTTTTTGCCTTGTTCTTCAAAACGCTAATTTCAGATAACTGTATACAGCATTTCCTGAAAATTGAAATTTAATCTATGAGAATGATTAAATATGTACTTTTGATACTGTTCGGATTTATTCAGATATTTAGTGCACGGTAGGTTGAGATATTCACTGTTTTAAATGACCATTTTATCTTATTTGTTTCTATGTTATGGGTATGCAATAGAATTTTCTAAGAATTCAATGTATGCTAGACATTTGTTATTTATATTTTTTAAGCGAAAAAGCATAAGAGAGTAAACTAAGTCAATTAAATTCATTTTATCACACAACAGTGCCGTTTTCGGATTCACAAGGCGGGTTCATAAAAACTCGTAGCACGGGTTAATAACTAGGCACATTCTGTCATGTATCCATGCGCAGTGGAAACAAAGAACATACCATCCTTTGGTTTTCACAACTTAGTTAAAAGTGAAGGTAAAGGGCGTGAAATTGTTCCAAATAACGTATGATACAGTAGAATTAACATCTCTCTACATGTAAAGTTACGGACTCAATAGGATTTATATCTAATGTATGTGTATCTTGAATAGGATTTAAACTACAAGTTTCAATTTAGTAATCGCATAAACGTGTCTACCAAGATCTTTTTTGTCACACGCAAGGACATTTTGTAGAAAGGTGTAAAACGACTGACCTCAAAATGAAAAATGAAATGAATTGAGTTTTACGTCCTACTTTTCTGCACCATGTGGGCTAATGAAGACGGGTATCGCCATGCAATGAGGGAATTTCGCCAGGACAGCGGCATTAGCCTGCTCTTTTTCGATTTGCAACTGTCGAGGGATCTTGAACGTGCACAGCCTGTAGCACACGGGGCCTCGGTTTATTGTCCCATCCGAACGACGCTTTTTCCATGTCAGCCCCTCCATGACAGGGGGAAAGCGGGTTGAAAAATACGTAGGTATCATCTCGACCTATGCTGTGATTGAACCCTGGACCTTCAAGTAAGCGAGCAAGCGAGCCACCGCGGCTCCCTGACCTCAAAATGATAATATACAATATAATATATTTACAATTTCCGTAATGAATAGGGACTTTGGTATAATATTTTATGAGTTGGTACTTAAATAAATACAGGTAAATGGCTGCAATCTGATTTAAGGGTTTGGCATGTCATGTTTAGACTTGCAATGATGGAAATGGAGTCGCAAAAAAAAATTGGTGAGATAAATGGACCCAAGCTGTCCATGGTGATAAGTTGATATTGGTTGTCAAAACATGCGCAAGCCTCTGAAGGAGCGTTTGTGCGTGTTCCCTCGGAAATGTTTTGAAAAATATAATTCTGGCACACATTTTGAAATGATATTCTGGATTTTTTTTGGAAAGGACGTGGGGGTACAAACCATTTTTCTATTCTAGTCATATTATTACTTCGAGCCCTTTGTCAATTAGGTCGTCTCTCGTCATATCATTCTTGTACGTATCTAAATTATTAATTTGTCATATTATGTTATTTCAGAATATCTATACTGTTTACAGAAAATAATGTGGGCCAACAACTAGTATTAATAAACTGTTAAACACAGCATCTACGGGATAAATTATTTATATGTGAACTGTACAAGAGCAAATAAGAGACCATAAATTATCTGCTTCATATTAGTAACATCAGCTTGTCTAATTCGATATTACTAGCGATTAATCTCTCCCATTGTGATTTATGTTCAATAATGAAATAAAATAAAATTTTACATTGATGTAATCCCAACTTTAAATTTTAAACCGTGAATATCAACATTTGACCTGATATCGGACCAGAAATTTCTTGACCCGGAAAAAATAGATTCAAATTGAGTAAAATGTCCGGTTCTTGGGCTAAGATATGACAAATTATCGTTTTCTAATTTCGTAGAATATTTGATGGAAAACTGAATACTCGCTTAGTATTGCTGTTTTAATTTTATGCGTGTCTCTATAAGACTGTAGTATCTAATTACGTTACAATAGTAATACCGTCTTACATAATCAATAAGTTGTACCTCGGCCTTATTCAAACCTCTACCTTGTCAATAAACCATGACACCTGAAGACTATGACTAATCATACGATATGTGACACAGGCTGGCTTCAACCACATGTTTTATAGTATATTATGAAAACACAGTTTATATACTTGCACTGCAATAGTTGAAAATGTGTGTTAGACTGGTGTTGATGAACTGGTTGAGGAAGGCACAGATGATACGAATGGATAAATTTCGGTATTTGATCAAGAAATCAAGAAAGAAAGGTAGCAATATTATTTTTCAGGGGACTTCTTTTGAAAAAAAGTAATAATGAAAGACAATCATCGACAATATTAGAGGTTCTAAGGTACTATTCAACAGAAGGTACTAGCACAGGATTAAAGCAGTGTTCACTAATGTTTAAGCTTGTATGTTAAAATGGAAATTCGTATAGTCAAACACAGATGTTTTCTCTAGTTTTTTTTAAGGGGCAAAATTTTCATTATCAAAAACGCCATATATTATACCTGAATATATTTCTAAAGAATGCCATTTATATCTATGTATCTAGTTGATCAAACTGAATTTGTTTTAAAAGGGTTAATTAAAAACGAAGTGTACTAATGGTTAATTAAATATTTATATTCATGTCTAAATTTCGAGGCAAATTCGGAACGTGTGCTTAGGGGCCTAGGATGGAACAAATATTTCCTTAAGAAAATGAATGTAACGTTCTGGAACAGCTGGGTAAATTTCTAAAATTAGGTAGAAATAGAGGTTTGAGGGTTGAACCAGATTTAAATTACGTTTTCTATTCCGTTTGGTAGAAATTTATTTAGATCTTTTGGTATATGATAAATTTTCAGAAAAACAGCTTGACTAATATTTCTATATCGCTCTACAATTGATGTATTGGGCACTATTTTAACAGTGAAAATATTGCATTATTGTAAATACTATTTAGTGTAGTATTTCCTAATTTTGTTATTATTTTATAGGTAATATGATCAATTCCACTGGTGATCAGGATTTTTAAAAGGGGTTTCAAATTAATTTGTGTTAGGCCATTTTCAGTCATAAATGATTGGGAATATCAGTTTTAATGAGGCCTTGTTTGGCTTATAATTGGACGTAAAACCTTTGAATTGCAGATTGACGATGTAACATTGTGGTAGATTCATATTCCATCAAAATTTAAAATTGATGCAAATGAAAATAAAATGAAGAGTTTCACGTCCTACTTTTTTGCACCATGTGGGCTAATGAAGACGGACAACGCCATGCAGGGTACAATGAGGGAAATTTTGCCAGGACAGCGGCAATAGCCTGCTCTTTTTCGATTTCCAACTGTCAAGGGGTCTTAAACGTGCGCGCAGTCTGTAGCACACGGGGCCTCGGTTTATTGTCCCATCCGAACGACTTGACCCCTTTTTCATGTCAGTCATTGTTACCTACATAAAATTGGTGCGAGTAATTGCTAAGTTCAATTAGAACCGATATTTTCTGCATGTGATTCCTTTTTAATGTAATTTTAGGTATGTGGGTCTTACAGATTTTGGTGTTGTTAACAATCGCACTCTGGATAATTGTTCCTGATGATTTTGTCTGCCCGCCCAAAATGGTTTGTATATGCATGAGTTTACGAGAGAATCGTTTAGGAAATCGCCTGTATAAGTTTGCAGCTGCCTACAGTCTTGCCAGAAGTAAAGGATTTAAATTATATATATCTGGTGGTGAAGAGGACTTAAATAGAATGTTTCACGTCAAAGGTAGCTACAAGTCTACATGGAATCGCTGTAACCATCTCTTCACTATTAATGAAACCGCTTGTTGCGAATATTCATCAAAAATTGAAGAGACTATACCAGCCAATACAAGTATCACTTTAAACGGATATTTTCAAAGTTTTAAGTACTTTGAACGCCATAAGAATGAACTTAAAAGAATCTTAACAATTCGTGAAGATATGTTACTTAATGCTAGAAATAAAATAGACACTATTTTGCAGAAAGAATACATGTGTAATACGAAATGTAAACATTTTCGTCGAACACTAGTCGGTATTCATATCCGACGTGGTGATTATATTTCGAATATAAATATTGAATACGGCTTCCACACAGCACCAAAGGAATATTTATTCAAAGCACAGGACTACATGCGTAACCACTTCTCAAATGTTACTTTTATTGTATGTTCAAATGATATAGAATGGTCAAAGACTGTTTTCCAGAATCAGAATGATGTGATTATCCCACCTTCTGGTACAGCTCAATTAGACATGGCTTTATTAAGTCTCATGAACCATACAATTATAACAGTGGGAACTTACGGGTATTGGTCTGCTTGGCTCAATCAAAATAATGGAACTGTGATATATTACAAAGATTTTTTCGAACCAAATTCAACCTATGGTAATCAAGTTAACATTACGGATACATATTATTCACACTGGGTAGGGCTTGGAACTTAGCTTACAATTTTGTCTGAGATGCCTCGATAAAAGCTGTATGTACTATGTTCTACGCTTGCCAATCAACATTCTAATCGTAGCCGTATCCATCTCTGATTAACTGTTTCCTATATTATGTAATATTTTCGTTAAAATCGAAAAATCATATTTTTTTCATTTATGTCATTAAACGGAGTTATCATTCTTTTATCAACTTTATTGATAGTCATTTTTTTTTTTTAAATTGTTTACAACATATGTTACATTCAGTTTCAAAGTCGTACATGAAATGAAATGAATGGAGTTTTACGTCCTACTTTTCTGCACCATGCAGGGTGCGATGAGGGAAATTTTGCCAGGACAACGGCATTAGCCTGCTCTTTTTCTATTTCCAACAGTCGAGGGATTTTTAACGTGCACAGCTGCACAGCCTGTAGCACACGGGGCTTCGGTTTTTTGTCCCATCCGAACGACTAGACGCTTTTTCCATGTCAGCCTCTCTTACCTGCATCATTGACGGGGAAACCGGGTTGAAAAATCCGAAGGTATTATCTCGACCTATGCCGGGATTGAACCCTGGGCCTTCAGGTTAGCGAGCAAGCGTCTAACTCACTGAGCCACCGCGGCTCCCTCAAAGTCGTACAGCTGGCACTTTCTGGTGACAATTGTTGGGTAACATGGATACAGTAAGAACTCGATTTCGAACAAAATAAAAACTAGGGACAAAAGTTTTTAATATTGAAGCGGTGCATTTCATCCTTGGAAAATTTCAAGAGGCTTTCATAATGCAAGCCTACAGCTTATCTTTAGTTTTTCTACTACTTAGTCTGCAGTTTAGGCAGGGCGTTATGAGCAGAATTCGAAAAAAAACCAAAGCCAGGACTTTGCTAACGTGGCAAATTGCAAGAGATTCTGAAAATATCAACTTTCTAGACTAATTAAGTCATGAGCTAAAGCAGTCAAAATTTGCACAAAAAATGTTAAGTAGTTGTGAAGCCGGAAGTAGATGTCAAAATCCCAAAATGAAAGTATCAACAGATTGCCAAGGTCAAGGTCAAAAATCGAAGACATGGAAATTCTAAAACCCGAATAAGCACACTTCTTTAATAAAAATTATTAAACACATTCCATTCGATATATTATGTTTTTAATATAAGATATATGTTCTGTTCATGAACATATTTATATTATGTTGCTCATTCACAGCCAGCTTACTGTTATTCTATCTATTTCTTGGTGATTGAAATCTCCAACAAACAATAAATGTGAGTAAATCAGATGTCGACCTTAAAATATTCAGGTTTCTCAAATCCTCATTTAATTTTATACCACACAATGTGCATTTAGATGTACAACAGTATCAACTTTGATCACTTTTGAGGCTCTATGGGTATGACCTTGATCACCTTGACAATGTTTAACTGGTACCAAATGGTATGGTCATAGTCTTCAACCCAAATCTTTAGCTGCTTATTTTATTTAGATCTTAAATAATGCTATGATGGAAGGATTTTCTTCATTTACATAATCTTAACCCTTTTTATTCGCCAACAAATATATTTTGGGCGTATATTGTAATCACCCTGGCGGTCCGTCGGCCCGTTCACATTTGGCTCACTCTACAATTACTCTGCAATTCTTTTGATTTTTATTTTGTAGGTCAATGTCATTATGAAGATGATCCCTATCGATTTTCGTGACGATCTGATAATTTTTCACCGAAATATCACTCTATAGGCAACATTTCTTTACAGATTCTTTTGCTTTTTATTTTGAGGGTCAATGTCATTATAAGGATGATCCCTATCGATTTTCGTGATAATCTGATAATTTTTCCTTCAAATATCGTGTCCGGCTTAACGTTTTTACTTTATTAGCTATGTTGTTCAACTCGTTTCCAGTCTACAGGCAACAATTCTTTATGGATTCGTTTGATTTTTATATGCCCACATGTAGTATGGACTTAAATTGTCTTAACCATGTCTGCATGTCAGTTTGTCCATTCACATTTGGCCTGAGAACACTACAGACTACATTTCTTGATAAATTCTTTTGATTTTTGTTTGTTTGTAAATATATCGAATTTCGTCAAAGAATTGATTTAATGTTTTGCAGTGTGTTCAATATTCACAATTCTTTATCTTTCAGATACATGTATATATTTTTAACACAATCTACTTTCTATTTGCAATGAATCAAGCCATGCGTTAAAAACTAGCCATGATGCGATACAATAAAGTTTGCTTAAAATTCTTTATAGACTTAAACAAAATGTGACAGCAAACAATTATTTGTAATAGCAATCAAAGCTGCTGGTGGGCGTATGCCACGTTGCTTTGCAAGGCTATCTCTTTCTTTAACAGGTCCTTTATCATAGGGTTTGAAGCCTTTTTCTCCTATATGTACACATTGTTACAAAACAAGAATGGAGTGTGGGGAATTAGTTTATGGTTGATAAAAGATTGGGCCTTTTCAACCTAAAGATGATAAGTTCCGATCCTCTTTGAAAAGAAATTTGGTTGTAGTTATTCTTTAAAGATAACTCGCAAGGTTATCAAAAGCCAACACAAAATTTTAAGGTTCAATAAAAGCAGCATGAATCAAAATTATTTAATTGTCGAGTTTATTACTCAGAAAATGTTCATTTCGAAAGTAATATAATTTCAATAAGTAGATACATTGGATAATCTCAGTGAAAGAAACTCGGGACAGGATACTGAACTTGAAAGATAAATGAAAAAACAACGTCAATCAGATCTTAGTTCCAATAAATGAGTGTCTGGTAGCTGAGTGTACTTTAACTGCTGTTATAAGCTGATTAATGATTGTGATTACCAGAAGTATTAATAAAATAACAAAAGATCGTCCAGAGAAAAACGTTTCCACGTTGACAGATAATTCGATTGATGTTGAGTTAAGAAGTGAGTGTAGTACATGTAAATACATAAATAATGTTGAGCAGGAGGAGGCAAAGATTGATAAAGAGTCTTTTTGCTGTTGATCAAGTAGAAAACATAATTTCCGCCTCATAATAGGTCTCACTAGGAGCGTCTTGGTATTCACACCAATACCGGGGAATCTTCAAAAACTCTCAACAATTCGCATAATTTTGCGGGATAAGGGAGTGAAGGGGGATTGATGCATTAAATATCCAGATTTGAATCTGGAAAAAACAGATAATTGTTTTTTAGTTGATGGGAACATTATCTGTCTACACTGTGTAATGTGTTTGAATATTTTGCTGAATGAATTATAAACTGATTGATAGCAGCAAGCCTCAGCTAACACATATGTACTAAGTGAATTTTATGGAAGCCGGGAAATCGAGGAAACAGGCGAGAAAGCGAGGGTAAAAAAAGACGAGCAAAAGGGCGAGGAAAAATGCGAGGAAAAAGGCGAGAAAGCGAGGAAAAGGGCGAGAAAGCAAGGAAAAAGGTCAGAAAGGGTTATAAAAGGCAAGGAAATAGGCGAGAAGTCGAGAAAGCGAGGAAAAAGGCAAGAAAGCGATGAAAATTCTCACACCATACCACGCCACCGTACAATAAAATTGAAAAATTTGTATCTTTTTCAAGTTTCAATTTTATGAATGAGTTATATTTACCAGTCGGATATATACTTATGGATAATCTTCCTGTACAACTCTCTCAACTCATCAAGAGATTTAATGGGTTACTCCCCTTCCCTTGATATTTATTGTACCTTAGTTCATGTAGGCGTGAAAACAAAAGCTTTCTTGCATACCTACTGCTATCAAAATTCCTCTGGGGAGGATGGTGAGTAATAGGACTGGTAAGTATAAAATTGAAACTTGAAAAAGATACAAATTTTTCAATTTCATTTCATTCGTTATACTTACCAGTCGGAAATTTATTTATGGATAAATTTAGATTCCAAAGCAGTATGGTGGAAAGGGAATTTTAAGACAAACCCCTATATGTACAATAAATATTTTAATTTTTTACAGGTACATGCTTGATAAATATACTCTGTATTCTTTCCGATGATTTACATGAAGATGCGACCATACTTAATCGCCATTTACCATAGTCACTGCTATCCTGAAACAGTGAATGTATTGTTTAATGCACCATTACAAGAGAATTATATTAAATTTACAGTGTTTAACTTTAGAAATATACATACCCTCGGAAAAACTTGCCGGGGGATGACTATCCTGCTTAAGAACACTAACATTCACATCCTTGAGATAAAAATCTATAAACGTCGACGGTTTAGACCAATCAGCTGCATCCATAATGGAATTTACAGAAGCACCTTTATATAAAGCAAAAGACGGACCTACGGCTCTTGTGGAATGTGCATTTGTATGAACAGCGCCATTATAGGCCATTTGTATAGTCTGAACAAGCCACCTTGCAATGGTTTGTGCGGAAACAGCTTTATAAGGCGGCGAGAGACACAGAAAAAGTCGTGGCTGGTGCAAATGTTTTCGCACCATAATGATTTGGTCGGTCTTGTTTTGCTAATCCAGTACGTAGAAACGTAATACCACTTGTTTGAATTCTCAAAAAAAAATTTTGCCAACCATTAATGACTGTATGTCACTGGATCGTCTGAAAGTAGTTATTAAAAATTAAAAATACAGTTTTAAAAGTGAGGTGTTTGAAGGATATATCAAACAATGGCTCAAATGGGGTCTAGCACGGTTGGTAGATCCCATTCTGGTAATAAACGAGACTTGGGGGTTCTAAAGTTAAAAACGCCTTTAAGTAGCCTGCAAACTGTCGGATGTCGTCCAACCGGCATATTTCCAATATGTGGCAAAATTGCCGATAACATGGAACGATAGCCTTCTATCGTCCTATACTGTAAATCGGCAGAAAACACATCTGATAGAAAATCGGTTATTTGTGTCAGTGAAATGCCCAGGGGATCAATTTTCCTTGGATGTTGCAAGAAGCTGTCTGTTTGTCCAGAAAATCCCTTTGCTTGGAGATGTCTGTCGATAGAAGCCATGCAATTAGTTTTAGACAATTTGGGTCTGGATGGTATATCTGAGTGTTCGGTTGTCGGAGAAGGTCTGGGAGATCCGGAAGTCGAATGGGTGGAGCAATCAGCAATTGAAGTAGATCGTTAAACCAAGTCCTTCGTGGCCAATAAGGAGCTACTAGAAGTATTTGACAATGAAATTGCCTCATGTATCTGAGAATTTTCGGAATAAGGCATATTGGAGGGTAAACATAAGCGTACATGTTCATCCATGAAATTGTCAGCGCGTCCAGTGCCAATGCTTGTGGGTGGGGACTCCAGGAACAGAAAATCTTAAGTTTGGCGATTTTCTATTGATGCAAAAAGATCCGTGTGCGACTCAACTGGTCTGCTAGAACATTCAATTTCCCAGCGATATGGACGGCTCTCAAAAGTATATTGTTCTCTGGAGCCAAAGATCCCATGTCTTTTAACATAGTTTCGGGGGATTTCGCTCCTCCCTGCTTGTTGATGTATTGGACGACCGTGGTGTTGTCGCAACGTATTAATACCATTTTGCCTGTTAGGCGAGGTATAAACTTGGATACTACGATATGCACAGCTTCCAACTCCAGATGGTTTATGTGATAACGTCTTTGCTCCCTTGACCAGGTCCCTTGTATAAGAAGCTGATCCAAGTAACCTCCGTACCCTTCCATCGACGCATCGGTCGTTATGGTCACTGTGGATAGCCGAGGTAGAGATCTTCCCTGTAAAATGGTCGCTGGCTCTAACCACCATGAAAGATGTGATAGTAGATGTTGAGTAAATGGGATAACCTTTTCTACTGCATGCTTCCAGAAACAGAGTAGATGTAGTTGTATAGGCCTCATGTGTAAGCGAGCATTTGGGATCAGTTCTATACAGCTGGTCATCAAACCTAGCAGGCGAAGATAGTCTAATGCCTGACTGCGCTTGTTCTGGATATGATTTACTGATTCTACTAATTTATTCATCCTGTCTATCGTAGGGCACACAATACCCTGATGGATCTTGAATAAGCTTTCCAGATAAACTACTTCTTGCACAAAGAACAAAGAACATTGGGACAAAGAGACGACTTCTCTTGGTTCACAAGAAGACCCAGAGATTCCAAGAGTTCTAGGACGAAGAATCGATGCTGTCTCAGTGTGTCTTTGTTCCGATGCATTAGCATCCAATCGTCGAGGTATACTGCTACCCTTAAACTGTGCTTTCTCGGGTACGCAGAGACGACGGACATGACTTTGGTAAAAACCCTTGGGGCGACTGTCGGACCGAAGCAAAGAACTTTCCACTGATAACACCTTCCTTGGATGCAAAAACGAAGATATTTCCGATGTGATGGAAAAAGGGGAATGTGGAAATAAGCGTCCGATAGATCGAGAGTTATTGCCCGACGTACTAAATTGATGACCTTGGAAATGGTATCCATCTTGAAATGTTTCTTTAGTAGGAATTGATTTAAAGATTTTAAATTGATCACCGGTCTGAGATTGTTGGTCGACCTTTTTGGAAGGAGGAAGAAGGTGCTGTAAACACCTAAATGAATTTCCTCCACTGGAACTGATTCTATAGGTTCTTTTCCATAACGAAACAATTTCTGCGTTTAAAATATCTACATGGTTTTGCGCTATGGTTGTTTGTCGAATACCCGTGTTCGGGGGTGGCGGACAACACCCATTGGTCGTCTGTTATTTTGGCCCATCTCTCTATGAAATATCTTAAACGACCCCCTACAGGTATCTGACTCATCGACTTTATTATACTTACGTCATTTACGTTGGTATTCTTGTTTTTTAGGGATCCAAAACCCTGACTGGGTTTGGCTTCGCCCTTATCGTGACTTCTGTAAGATCTAGGATTGGTCGATGACTTCTCCCAATTCTGATTATAGTAGGGTCTATGTCCTAGGATAATGTTGATCCAGTCTTGGCTTTTTTAAGTCGTGTGACTTGTCAGGAAAAGTGTTAGATTTCCTCTTTAAATTTTGATAAATTTGACTTTTATCAGCAAATTCTGGAAGCAAGTCCTTGATCTGCTCCTTCTGTGATTTTCTAACCAAAAACACCATCCGAAGTTAAGGGGAAGTATATCAGCTTTGATTGACATCCTTTATATCTGTGAGACCAGTATCTGCCGCCGTAGCTTTACGTCTTATCATATGATGGAAGGCGCCATATCACCCATTTGGTCCATGGCTTTTGTTGATATTTCATACATATCTTTAATTGAGGCAATCGCTTGATCGTTGGTCATTTTGTCGTTGTTAAAATTGTTCATAAAGGTACCAAGAGCCTGTTGCAAATATGCAATTGAGATAATACCAAATTTAGAGGCTACTTGACCATGGTAAGCTAAAGTCTCAATAGATTTGAACGGCTGGGAGTGAAGACGTCTTGTCGATCCCCATCCCTTGAAGCTCTTTGTCGCATGTTTACGCCTTAACATAGGCTCACATATGTCATCTAAGCTAGGGACGTTCAAAAACTGCTCTGAAAGTTCATGAACCGGAAAGCAGCTACGGTATTCTTCTTTATATGCTGTAAACCGATCCGGATTTTGGCTTCTCCAAGATTTCGATAGGGTGTCAGACTTGGACTTGTCTAAAATCGGTCCAACTTTCTGCACATCGTCGTTCACTGAACTCCCAAATAGCTTGGACAAAACATCAGAACTTTGACACTCTACATTTTCTTTCATTGTGTTTTGTAAAGTGCTTGTTTCAGGAAAGTATTTCACATACGAAGGCCTGTTGTTGTCAGCTGAAGACTTTAGTCTCTTTTGAGGACTATGGGGCAAATCGGCATCAGAATCGGGTCCTAAAGTCGACTCCTGATCAGACAATGACGCCAAAAATTCTCGCTCTTCCTGTTCATCGGGGGCGAGAGATAAAACATCCATTTCTAAGTTTCTTGCTCGAAATTCTGGATTGATCAACAACTTAGGAACTCCGGAGGGATCTATTCTGCCACTATCGGTGGAGTTTTTAGGTATCCTGATTTTCATCCCGAACAGATCTCCGCGGAGTTAAACAACCGGTATTCTGGTTGGTTTGGGAAACTGTAAATAGTTGGATTAATTTATCAAATTTATCATCCACTTTCGCTTCCAAATTGTTAAGTCGATTGTTCACCTCGGTGGATGACACTCTCTTCGACTTATAACGTGTTTTCTTCTTCGATTGCGAAACTGTAACAAATGGCGATTCGGAACAAACACTTACTTCCAAATCTGAATCTGCGATAAATTAGATTTCTCATTATTCCCAGCGTTTGCCATAGCAAAGTATATGACAGAAATAAATCAATAACTTGCGAATCAAAATATCTAAAGAAAAATGTAACATAAACAAAGATAGCTTGCGTTGCAAGGTAACATACGCCCACTGGCAGCTGTCAGAAATAATAAAACAGTCTTTAGTGACTAAAGTACGTATTTTCTCATATTGAAGAAATTATTTATGCTGAATAATTCCACAAAATTTTTTAAAATCAATATCAATAACCCAATCAAGGGCAAAAAACAACTTTTGTCGCGTGTTTACAAAATCAGGGGCAATAACTCAAAAAATGTTCATCAAAAATATCTCGTTAGAACTTGTCTGAGATCTTATCAATTCCAATGATCACACCAAGTTTCATCAGAATCGGTTGAAAACTGTAGCTTCTATTGTGATCACAAACAAATTTTGACGCGTTTTTCGTAAGTTAATGGCATTAACTCAAAAACATTTCATCGAAAACGGGTCAAGTTAGAACTTGGCAGAGATCTTATCAATTTCAATAGTTAAATATTTGTTATATTTTATCCCGTGACATTGAAACTGATTTGGTGAAGCCGCAGACATAATATGAATCTCTATGGAGAGAAGACAAAACTAACCGATAAAGTTATTTATACACAATATAAGCCCTACCGAGACCATTAATCATATGTGACAAATTACCGGTATTTATTGTTTTGGTCTCCTAATCTTATATTTAGTTATTCAATTTACTATGAAAAATATAGATTTATAAACAGTATTAAAATAATATTCGGGATATTATTCAGAACAAGGTCATAATGTAACTACAGAAACACCTGGACAGAGACAGACAGAATGGCGCCACTCATTGCTACAGTCTCGAAGAGATCAAAGGATTAAATAGTGTTTTTGTCACGTAGGGCTGATCTTATTTAGGCCTATAGTAAGTTTTGAGCTGAAGTCACTTCCAGGAGTTATTACCCTGTCTAAAATTGCTTAGCCGTCAAGTGTCAGTTATACGACAATGTTGTCGAGTGTAGAATGCTTTGTTGACATGAGGAATTAAATAAAGATAGTGGACCACAGCCACATACGCCCTTCACGACATGCGGATGGTTAAAACGAAACATCCATTTTAAGTTTCATCAAAATCGGTTGAAAACTAAGAGAGTAATAGCATATTCAAGAATTTGGGGCATGGGCAATAACTCTGCTTCTAACAATCGAAAATAGCTCAAATTCGAACATGATCTTCGTTTTATGAATATGTATACACATACCGAATTGCATTTGATTCCATCAAAAAATCTAGTTTTTAGAGCGTTTACAAGCAAATGTTGACGGACCGACGCACGTACGGACAGGGGTGCCGACAATGTACGTCCACATAGAGAGATGTGGGCGTTTAAAAATGAAATGAAATGGAGTTTTAAGACCAACGTTTCTGCACCTGTTTGGGCTAATGAGGATGGGCAAACACCCTGCAGTGGGCAATGAGGGAAATTTTGCCAGGACCGCGGCATTAGCCTACACTGAGTATTTATTTCCAACTGTCTATAAAAGAATCTTTTATTTTAACTTGCATAGCCTGTAGCATTTTATTATAAAATACATGTAATAAAATAAATACTTAGCCATTGGTAAAAAGCGGTTTTGTACTTTTGCCGATTATTCTAAAGCATTTGACAAAATTGACCGGAATTTATTATTTCTTAAATTAAATCAAATTGGAATTTCATCTAAGATGATTAGTTGTATAAAATCAATGTATCATAATGTTAATCTTTGTATCAAATATGATAACCAATATTCTGAGTATTTCCCTTCTTATCTGGGTGTTAAATAGGGTGACAATCTGTCCCCACTATTATTTCTAATGTTTTTAAATGACTATGATGATTCTGTTAGCGTCGACGCTATAGATCCTGTAATTATTGGTGATTTGATTATTAGCTCACTTATGTATGCAGATGATACTACGCTTATGTCTAGTTCTGAACTAGGCCTGCAAAACCTTCTTGACAAATTACATGTGTATTGCAATACATGGCATCTAGATGTTAATACAAAACAGACAAAAATTCTTTTTTTCCAGAAAGGTAATCAAATCAACAACGGTTACAACTTCAAGTATAATGACGAAGTGGTTAAGTCTTTTACATACCTCGGTGTAGAATTGAGCTCCAATGGGAAATTCAACACACTTCAAAAGTCAATTTCAGTTAAGGGATTTAATGCACTCTTATCAACTCTTCAGTGTATTTGATAACGTCCATCAAGTAACGATGTTTTTATTTGATACATATATCGGCTCTATCCTGTCCTATTCTTGCCCTGTTTGGGGCTTCCACAAATCCCCCGATTGTGAGAAAGTTCACCCAAAATTCTGCAAACGTATTCTGGGTGTCAAATCTTCAACTTCCACTCCAGCTGTTCTAGCAGAACTTGGTAGAGTTCCTTTACTTGTATTAAGGCACGAGTTAATTTTAAAATATTGGTTGCATGTTATCTTTAACAAAAATTCTCTTATTTTCTAGGTTTTTAACGTAATACGTAATGATATTATAGCATCTAATGTTAATGCAAAGAAGGATAACTGGGCATTCCTTGTCAAAACTTTATTAGACAAACTGGCTATCTATGGACACAACAGGACGACCGAGTTCCATGCTTTGATATAATGAAACTGAGACTAAGGGATCAATATTTACAGGAATGGAATGAACAATAGCTATATTTTTCAAAACTTTATTATTATAACTTATTTACTACTGATAATTTATATAAATGCTATTTGTGTATCAACCCACAAACATTGTATTGCCTTAACGAAATTCCACTGTTCTGCTCACACCATACTATCTAAAACTGGCAAATACGAAAATATTCCCCATAACTTTGCAAACTGTGTAACCTAAACCAAGTTGAAGATGAACTCCACTTTCTTTTGATCTAACAACAAACTATCTTCCCACTCTTTACTATTCCAATCCTTCTGTATATAAGTTTATCAATATTATGTCATCATCTTCACCCAATGTTAATAATTCTCTTGCACTTTTTATTTATCATGTATTTAATAAACGTAAAATATTAATTGAGAATGTTTTTCCGTAAACTTGGTTATATATCATTGTAAATAGTATTTGTATATAATGTATGTATTTTGAATTGTATTGTCATGGCTTTAAGTTGAACTATCTATCTATCTATCTACCTATCTAGTCGTCGAATATGCTGTCTTCGCTTACCGGTTGGTAAAAAAATGAAATCATGCTTTTCGTGGATTGTTCCCAACCGTATTCGAACAATGCTTGGCGATACAGAAGGGTGTGTAGAGATGTATCGGCGATAGGCCTAAGGTCCGTATGATTTAAGTCAATATGGCGTCATTCTCGGAATACGCACATTTTGCGTCACTTCCGCTCGAATAGATCACGTGACTGGTCAAAATGGCTGCGGCCAGGTGTTTGATGCTATTTTGTTAATTAATCGGCTTAAAAATATTGATAACGTCGTCAGAATCTCCCAATAATTTTCTGGTAGATTGTATTATATATATATTATTGAATTACGTTCATTCAATTTCGAGACTTGCTTCCCTTCAAAGTCCTGACCTAGCCCTGTTGATTAAAAAAAGAATTGTGGAAGTCGAGCCGCGAGTCGATAAATCTGTAACCTACATCAAGACTTAACGTGGATATATTGTAGGTTTGAAATAAATAGGACTGCCTGTGGCCTAGAAATCTCAGTTACAAAGGTGCATATTGTAATGTTTCGTGCCTACGACAGTATGCCTAACGATAATTTACTCACTGTAATGACTATACATGGACTTAAACTGTATTTAAGAAAATTAATACATTACGTATTCTTCCTTTTTCAGGTGTCAGTGTGGAAGCTGTCAACCAATGGATGAAGCTTTGCAATGTCGTTGCTGCCAGGCGACCACCACGTCGCAAGCAAAGATCACACAGCATTAAGACTCGACAGGGCAGCGGGTTGAATGTATAACTGATCATCCGCGAATGGAGCCTTTATGCTTTAATCAATTTGTTTTGGAAGTAGCATGGTTAGGCTACAAGCAGCAATATGGTGAAAATGCTTTTAGTGATAGACAAGATGAGAGATACCGACATATAGCTTATAGAAAATTCGTGCGATGGTGCTGGGGTTACTTAGGAAAAGATTTCAGAGTTGTTTTGCCAGCATGTGTTGTCTGTTGTATCCGTGCACATTTTCCCCCACCAGGTCGAGAAGAGCTGTACACATTTAGAGGGTTTAAAATGCAAAAAATAAAAATGCCTGCTTTAGAGTAAAGCATTGATTAACTAGTCTTTTTAATTAACGTTATTCAACATTTTTAAAATAGCCCAACAACCCCTCTAGCCTCCAGGAGAATGTCTCGTATGTAACATCACTATATATGAAGACACTTTCGATCAAGCTGCCCTCCTTTATGCAGATAAAAACGAAATAGCACTTGGTTTGTCCCTTGGTTTCATTGAATGAAAACACAAAAAATGTACAATCATTACCATTATTAACTTAACACTTAGGCAAAGTTGAATTGGAATTGGGTAGAGTTGCTTATTTTGTTGAGACAGCCAAACCATTCAATCTAAGCCTATTTTATATAATGAAAAAAGTAACAATGATAAGTTGACAATAATTATTCGATCTAGGAGGGAAGTAGGTTATGTGTAGACCTTTTCAAATGTAAAATTTTCCAAAAGCATTCTCAGACATGGCATGCATTTGACAAAAAAATTGAATGGCTAGAGACTGAGAGAGTAGTTCAATACGAGTAGGATAGTTGAGTAGGCGTAGGCCTACTGACACTGGCAGTTTCGTGCTGACCTACTCATTTATTTCATTTATATAATCATTGATTTTATCATCTAATGCTACTACCACAGCACTTAATCACCATTTTGCAAATAATCATAATTTAAGTCGAAATATCCACTCCAAAACAGTACCGAGAGTCTTTGATAGGCCCAATGATCAATTGATTGTTTACATTTCGTCATTTGCCGCCATTTTGTTTCTTCTATAATTATTCTCATCCTAAACTTCGTTCTCATTGCTTGAAACCTCAGTTTACCGTTCTAGGCCTTTTCATTTACGTGGTTGCGACTTGTGAGTTGGTATTTTAGCTTTATATATCCCACAAAATGGGGTTAAGAAAGGATAGCGGCAACGCATGATCGGACAGTCGAGCACAAGAGTCGAGATGAAGAGGTCTCACTAGGCCTAGGCCCTCCCTCCTAGCACGGGTAATCTTCGTAAATTTATCTTTGATTTAAAAGCATAACTTAGGTTCATACACATTTTTATGTACATCAAATACTTTTCTTTGGAGATAAGACCTATGTGAATTAACAAGCCTACCTTTTCGCAAAACCCATGTTGAATTGTTGCAAATTATCAAAACAGTCGTTAGAAAAGTGCTCTGCGCACAAAACGCTTCTTGTCCATTTATCACGCTTCACTTGCACAAATTTTGTCCACAGGCGAGCTCTCTCATGGTTTTTTGGCCATTCGTACAGCTGACTATTAGCATGGCTACAAAACATAGCCACACAACGGCTTGGCAATCTGTCACTTCTGTTTTGGAACAGTGGAAAAAATGGCGGGCATCAACAAGTTCTGGGTATAACGTCACTTTCCGATGATTCACGGAAACTGTCGACGATTTTTTGTGGTGTAACTACGGGCCGTTGGTATAAATTTGCAGCTGGTGTTTTAGCGATAACTCGGCAACGGAATGAGGTATCGAAATGAAAATAACTACATTATTTTTGTAATATGGTTATTTACGTAAAAAGGACATAAAAGGAAATTTGCACTACCCCTGAACGCTAAAGACGTCAACTGAGACGCATTTTCTTTTTTCCGAGCACCAAACGTCGAATTGCGTTATATTTAGACTATTAAATCGCAAACATGTTCTGAAACAAGGTGTTCGATTCGGAACACAACAGGTTTAGATAGATTAGGAGAATAGCTCAATAATCAATCCAATGAATGCGTATAGGCCTATGTTGGCTTATGTATGGGCCTGATAATTATTTAAGAAATCCTCGTAATAAAGAACACGGGGTATATTTTCTTTTTGGGTGGCAAATCGATATGTCCCTCTTTGTTTTGGTAACGATTATTTTATTTCTTTAACGATTTGTTTTTGTTATCATTTATTCTGGGACCTTATTCTCGGAAACTTTAAAAATTTTAGTCATCTGGTCAATCACTACTAGAATCTATTTGAAGTTTTATTATCACTTCAGAGATGCCTGTTTTTAAATTTATCTTAGTTAAGTTTTCGAGAATAAGGCCACTTGCCATTGCCTTTATTATATATAACATTTATGGATTGATATGGATATCTATAACTGGGGGATATTTCTGAATGTGCTAGGGCTGACGACGTGTTGCTTTATTCTCAACATTGTAAGTCGGTTAAAATAATCATTTGGGGGTATAATAAATCTCTGGATCTCCGGTTATGGGCTGTATTTTGAAGATAGGTTAAAAATAAATTCAAAACCAAATTTAGTTTATGCCTGATTTTGAAACAGACAACTGTTTTTAGAAAACTAGGTTCTCTCCCTCGATTGTTACGTACTCCAGACTACAACTGGTCAATTTAATAAGCCTTCGCCAGTTATATTGGATATTCTTGTGAGATTCTAAAATTGTTAACCCAGCGAAATCGGCGCAAAAGGGTGCCTGCCAGGCCGGATTTTCTAGTATATCATTATACATTGTTCACAACAGTCTTCCTCATTACAGTCTGTTTGATTATGTGATAAATTTGAAATCTGAAACAAAGCCTTAATTCTGATTGGATCAAAATTCACACAAACCAATCAAAATTTGAGGTTTTAAAACCAATATGAAGTTTCATGAGA